ATCTAGTTGTGATGGTTGATACTGAACACCACTGAACCCAACTGGCAACCGCTACTACTACTACTACTTATTATGTGTGGGAGGGTCTATTAATAATAGAATAGGTACGTTCAGTTATGACAATATCACTAACAGGATCCTGAAGCGTCTCTATACCACAGCTCAACAGGCATCGATTTGGATCTAGTCAAGATCCAAAATAAACAAAATTAATTCAAACAATGCTCGAAACACAATACTACTTCCAGAGTGAAACACATCTGTTTATTTTCCATTCTGCGTCATTGATAACGGTCGCTTCGAGCGCGTGATGCATTGGTTAACGATCAGAATCAAACGCTTTTAACAAAACGTTCAAAATGTGGTGTTTTCAGTTTTCCTCATGTTTTGACTGCTTCGTTGTAGTTTATTTTTGTGCTGTTTTAAATAGGAACGTTAATTCCGAGCCTCCAATTGAGTATATATTTTTATTTTTAAATATATGATGTAATGGGATAACCTGTCCCCCCATGGGAGACTACAATATAGGTAGTAACTAACTATAAGTATCTGTAAGTCAACGGACTACAGAGTCTAGTCGAAATCTTTTCGGCTAGACGGTTGAACTCTCTGCCTCTGAGCAAAGAGGAACCCGGAAGGGCTCAGCCGAAGGGCAGAGTCTAGTAAATACCGTCTAGCTGGAATCTTTTAAGCTATTCCGTCGAACTTTCTGCCTTCCAGCAGGGAGGAACCCGGACGAGGCTCAGCCGAAGGGCAGATTTTCGTTCGGGAAGGTAGACTGACCCGATCCCGTTTATGCGTGTTCTACAGAGATTTTTTGGCCGAGCCTACGGGCTCGGAAGATCCACATTAAACTCGGCCTTGTGCCACATATACCCTCGTGTTAGGGTGGGCGGGCTAGTAAATATTGACTAGCTGAAAACTTTTTCAGTTCTGCTGATCAAACTCTCTCCCTCCGAGCAGAAACGACCTCCAGATGAGGCTCTACCGAAGGGCAGAGTCTCGTCTCGAGAAACAGCTACCCAATCCCGTTTTATAAGGGGTCTACGGGCGTTTTTGGCTGAACCTACGGGCTTGGATGCCCCACATTAAACTTGGCAGTGTGCCACATCTGGTCACGTGGAGAGGTTAATAAATATACTAGCAGGAATCTGTTCCAGCTGTGCTGTCGAACTCTCTCCGAGAGCCCGTTAATGCGGGGTTTACGGGGAATTTTTTATTTTATCCACCGTGTTTGTCAAGTATCTATTCCTATTAGCACGGAATATAATATATATATATATATATATATATATATATATATATATATATATATACTCGACTCTCCCGTCGAATTCGACGTATGAGGTCAAACAGATCAGTTCCTAGGAAAACGACAGCCCGACAACAGCACATGAGATTTGATTATAGTGGTGAAGGTTTCGTGCAGGACCATCCACACTTTTTGAAGGGACGTATACAGAGACCTGGTGCACCGAATGCCACAAGGTTCCCAAACGACCCTCCGCAGGTTTTGAATTCAGAGTTGTCCTTCTCCTAGACCAGTTGCCATCCAAGGCTATAGAACCCAGTCTGTCCTGCTATTTAACCCATAAATGGAAGAAGAAGAAGAGGATTCATCCCTTTCCCAAGGGTATTAGCACGTAAGGACTGGAATTCGAAGTCGGCTCTCCGATTCCTCTTGAAAACCATCTTTCGGTCTGCAGCACATTTATTTTCGTCTTGGAACTTATCCGAAAAGAAAAAAATATTAATGTCTGATGATGAAAATATGATAATTTACGAAAGTACTAGCTTTAGAATTGCTGGTAGTATTTTTTCTTCAAAAATATATTTCTGGTATCCTTTCCAAAAATTTATTGCTGGAAATAATTTTTTCCAAAAATGTATTATTCGTAGTAAAATCAATTTCTTGCAGTTTGGGAGCCAACAACCTGCCTATAGGTGGGAACACAACAAGTGCCATCACCACTAGCCAGGGTGGACACGGTAATAACAGCAACTAAGAAACGGCTCCACGTTCCTCAAAACCTCCCGACCAGAGGCCCCGCTGCCGGATATAGTTTTTCGTCTTACCCAGGACGTGATGATAATATGAATGAACCAAACGCGAATAAAATGACATCTTAACCCTCACATTGTACCAACAACTTTGTCAGGTTGACCGTGCGCAATGTGAGGTTGTCAGACAGCATGAAGACACTCTTAAAAGAAAAAAAAAACTTCAACTTTAGCCGAACAGTCTCCATCGATCTGTCGAGTTTTTCATATTATGTAAGTACGGGAGCATTGAGGCCATACGGTATGAATTTCACGAACAGCACACATTTTGCATACCACAAGACAATTTTCATAAATCTTTTCGCTGACAGTTGAACTTTGAAATTTTGGGGAGCGAATGTTCAGAGGAAATAGATGAATTCAAATCTTCGAATAAATCTTGGTTCACCGAGGATCCTTGCTACGCATTAATGCTCCGATGGGACAGTGAATCTATCAC